AATTTATTCTTGACATTTGAGTCAATTAATTTCTAGGATTGAAGACTCCTGATCGTCAAAAATTTCATAATTCCGCTCAAAACGATCCGAGAACAATGAATTTGCGAGACGAAGAGGCCGCCATGAATCAGGTAAAACAATATGTTACATGCAATTTGATTGGTCCAATCGCTTGTAGTTAACCAATCGCTGGGCCGTATATAATCGAGCTAAGAGTCCCGCAACAAATAATGCCTTCAGTGATCTGATTAGTTGAAGCTTTCATACACGTCCAATCGCAGGGCTGTTTACAAACGGAAAACGGAGAGACTGTTCGGGAGAGCTCGTGAAAACTCGACGATAAGGTATCTGACCGCCCCTAAAATTTTCTCAACGGATTTAGACGATTCACAAAAATGATCAATTTAAGAAATAAAACGGCGGATTTCCGCGGATCCGCGGAAAATTGCCATGTATGTATCTGTAAAGGGCTCACTTGGATCATGCTTAAATGATTTAAATGACATTTATAAGTACACTCAGTTTCTAACATTATGTAATAAATAAATTCATCTTTACTTCCGCAAGTATATGAATACAATGCACGTTTGCATAATGGGGGGAAAAAACACCAGAAATGCAATGAGGTAGCGGGAGCACAAACTTGTTGAGCAGGCTTCCAGTCCAGTGAGTATCCGACGCAGGTTGTCCGGGCTCAGCCAAGTCCCATCTCGAGAACGTGAGTGGCTTACAATCTGGAGAAGAAGTCAGTATTTGCTTCAGAAATCTTTTAGCTGCTTAAGAGCTTTCCTCCATATTCCCACTGAATGTGAATGGCAAGAAATTGTTTTTCAATGCTCACCTCCTGCTTCTGCAGCAGCCCATCTTGGTTGAGGTCCAACAGACTAAAGACCTCCTCAGTGGTCAGAGATAGCAGTGGGTGGTCTGGCTCCCCTTGCCCCCAGCTGGGTGCTGTCATCTGGCTTTCCATCAGACCTTTAAGCTGAGCCAGCTGCACCACCACTCGACACTCCTCCTCTGACAGGAAACCAGGCACCTCTGACCAACAAATGTGGAATAATAAACCTTTGCAAGCAGTGGTGTGGGCCGCAAATAACGTTATAATTAACATGTGGTTATCTGGTACTGGGGATGCATTTATTTGTTTCATCCGTTACACTTAACAGCCACAATATCAAGACTACTTGCACAGTCTGTAAAATGCACAGTATCTTAAAAAATATTATTGTGGTTGTAGTGTGCCCTATTCCACAATAGTGCTGCATCCAAGTGACATCCGAGTTGTGCATGGTATTTTCGTTACTTCAGTCAGTTACACACAAGAGTGAAAAAATAAAGCTTAACAGTACAGTCATATCACGGCAAATACAATAAACATACTGTATTTAATACCGCTCAATCAAAACTGAACAAGGCAGAACAAGTTTGATGAAGCCAGTGTACTGGATTTGACTGAATAATTTCACGCAATATTTTTGACTGTGTCTTCAGTTCCAATAGCAATTCAAAGAACGATAGAATAGAATAGTTCTTCCATTGAATTGATTTCCATTAGGAGAGACTGGAAACATTCACTGATCCCTCTTAAAACAAACAAACCAACCAACAAGGTCCCTTTGCCAAATATACAAGCTGGGAAATAAAATGTTCACATCCTGCCAACATGTCATCATCGCATGACTGGAGAATGCAAATAGAGTACATCCCATCAAAAGCCATGAATAGGCTGATCTAACACAGGGAATCAAGAATACTGAAAGCATACTGATAGGCCAATTCGAAGATTGAATGTAGTTAAGTGACTCACAAAAAAGTTTTCATCAACAGTGATAGCTTGAAGTGTTAGACCATTAAAAGGATTAATTTCAAACCGTCCAGTCTATGCTAATGATTCTGTGATTGGGAGTGGTGTGAAACCTTCAGTGCAAAAGTAAATGATAAAACAGTTTTGCAAGGAACTCTATAACGCGCCGGTGTTAAAGTCAAGACCCGGGAGCCAGAGCCGGCCTGCCGCGTCGTTTTATGTGGCCCGTGAAAGCAAATCATGTGTGTCAGCTTCCATGATCCTTGCTAAACTCTGTACCAGAATGTCAAATTGCCATGTGTAATGAATAACGTTGAGATTTTGTAAAACTGTTGATACCATGAACAATAATTGAACAAACAACAAATGAAGAGTTGGCTGACAACAAACAAATAATTGACTGATTTCAAAACTTGTAATCCATTTTTTTTGTGTGTGTACAAGTAATAATACGATGAGATAATTTAGCATTTATTCGGTTTCACTGTCCTAATGGCCCTCCAAGGGAAGACGTTAACTCCAAAGTGGCCCGCGACAAAAATGAGTTTGACACACATGCTCTAATATGAACTTTTATTTGCCTTTGCCAAGAAATTAATGCACTTAAAAATACCAAGCCATCTCACACTGGAACACTTTACCTCAACAAATGATGTCAATAGTCGTTACCTTTAAAACAAACCTAAACAAAAAAATCGGTGATTTGTGGCGAAATTATTCTAATTACTGTATTCTAAAATGATTGAGTTCTAGTTATTCCCTTGTCTAGTTTTTGTTTGACTCCTCTGCTTCTACCTTGACAGTTGTTGAATTGAACATATTTTGACTTGATCCGACTGTCTGACTGTCTGTGCTTTGTAAATGTACCAATTGTTATTGTTAAAGTTGTATATTAATTGTGAGTGGACCCCAGCAAGCAATGGTCGAGACTAACTGGGATCCTGAACTAAACAAACAAACTAGACTGATGCTCATATCTGTTCAACCAATCTAATGAGTGACTTTCTATTGCCCCCAACGCCGCTTCGGCCCAATGTTTACAATACACTCCACAGAAATAAAACCTTTCATCATATGCCCTGCTTTATGCATTCAATCAGATCAGCTCTGCACCCCATAAAGATCTAATCGTGGCGAGACGGAGCATTTTTCGTCATATCTGTCAATTGTCTCAAAGTCTTCAGGATGCTTGTACAGTCAGCACCTTGTCTCCCACGTCTCTTCCACTTGGTCAATCCTTATTGTGCGGCCGAGCCTAATTGATGTGGACAACTGATATGAAATAAGGGAGACAGAACCCTCCATTTCTACCTCCCTTTCCAGCCGAGAAAGGAAGAAAGGAAGCGGCTCCGCAGCAGGACAATGGCAAATTTGATTGAGGCCTAATCTCTCACACGCATGCATGCGCGCGCACACACACACACACACACACACACACACACACACACACACACACACACACACACACACACACTGAATTTAGGATGGGACATACTCAGTCTTCTGGAGAGGGATCTCCAGGACGAGAGGGTATTGAGATGTGTGTGTGTGTGTGTGTGTGTGTGTGTGTGTGTGTGTGTGTGTGTGTGTGTGTGTGTGTGTGTGTGTGTGTGTGTGTGTGTATGGAGTGCGGGGGGGACATTGCTGTGGCCCAGGCTTGTACCAAGTCAATGCAGACAATGGGAGCCACGTAGCTCCTCTAGATGTGTCCCCTTTCCATCAGAGATAGCATTTTCCTCTGCTCTCTTTTGGCACCCAGCTGCCTCGACAGGTAGGGACAAACTAAAGCTGGCATAGAGCTTGTGTTTGTATTGTTGAGTTAAATGTTTAGATGATTGCTATTTCAAATCATGGGCAAATCCTGTGGTTCTGGACATATCAGTTTGTAACAAAGTGTCACATCAAGAAAGAACAATGTAAGTACTGTATTTTTAAATTGATGGTAAATACTGATAGTGTAAATCGGTATGGCCTTGGAACAAATAGAGGCAAATTACACCTAGAAACCACAAAGCACTTACCGAATAAGAGAGGTTTCAGACTGAGCGTCTTCATCTTATGTGTTCTGTCCCACACAAGGGACACCGGCTGAACGTGTCCGACCTAAGACACATCGTGAATAACAATGGCAAGTTAAATACACACGCAAATAATTTGGATCTGGCTGAGGTGTTGTCGCTGTTGTCTTGAAAGTCAACCCTGCACGAATTCAAAGTTCAACAGTGAAGTTGGGTCTAAAGCAAAATACGAGCAAGGTTGCAAGTTACAACTGAAACAACCGATTTTTTTCAAGAGCGTTTCAATGCAGTTCACCTACCCTGATCCCCTCAATTCGAGATAGTCTGAAACTTTGCTCGTACTCGCGGCGCTCCCTTGGACGAGGCGCGGGGTGAAGATGACTTTCCCCGTCGCCCACACTTGACGAGGACGGGCGATCACCACTAACAAGATCCCTTGGGCCGTTATTGTAGTGCACGTATAGCAGCAAGGCGATAACGTTCAGGATGTAGACGTGAAAGAAGACCATCACCACGACGAAGTAAGCCCGAGAGCAGATGTTGCTCCTCTGGACCGGTAGGCGAGTGGAGCGTAACGACTGCATGTCGGATGATGAGGATGCAATGCCGCTGACACAAGAGTCCTCATCATGCTGTAGATTTTCCTGAATGTTTTCCATGTCTACGTCCATCTAGAGACTTTGGGGGCTGTTTTAAAGATCAATACTGATCTGCGTAACTTAGGTCTGTCCGGTAACTAGCCTGATACTTAGCTGTCCTTGGCTGTTTCCGTGAAAAATAACACACAATCGTAGCTGTTGTTTTGCACAAATTAATATCATTCAGTGCAAAAATGCAGACGTGAAAACGCTTATTTTCTCGAGCTAATATTTTTTTCATCATTGACATAATCCTTCACTAACTAGCTCGTGTTAACCTGCTCCCCCTGACAACCTGCATAACAGGACGAACATACGCACGACTTCCGGTCATAGCAAATCAGACAGCGACATCTGTCGGTCAATACTAGGCGCATATTTGCGTATTAGTGCATCCACAGATGAACCGTACGATGACATTCTGTTTTACATTACTAGGAAGCGTGATTGTCTGTTTTCACTTTTACACATCTGGTGTTCCCGGAAACTGCTTTATGTTCATATTTGTCTGAAACACTCCTAGAAAGTGTCACAGAAAGTGGATAAGCGTGAACACTGAGCGTGTAAACAAACCGCCGGTATGAAAAGGGAGGTTGAGCAACGTGAAATCATTTTTAATTGTATCGTAGTTAGTGGAATTTGTGGGCCTTGTAGTATCCTGGGAGTGAACAGGATCCGGCGTAAAACTGCCAAACAAATCATGCGAGTGACCTGCATTGGCGACCCTGAAAATCACAACATCAATTGCAATTATACAATCAAACCACATGAGGGCAACAAAAGACAGTTTTTTGGCTTGTGTCTCGTGAGCGACAAGAAGCAGACTGGAAGATCCCAAAGTAAGCATAAGAAGTTTGACATGTTTGTTCGCACAGTTACCTATTTCTTTTCGTTTTCCCCCCTGGGCGGTTTAGGTCGCTTTTATGTTTACAAAGTTCTCTGTGTCCATATCAATAAATCCTCCCTTTCCCTCACAGTGATCAGCCCGAGAGGAAGGGTATTTTCAAAATACCCAAAATACTATTTTGGCACGATCATTTCTCGAAATTTTTAATAGGCAATGAAGTTTGTTTTCGGTTGCATCTATATTATCTTATCCATTTGAAGACTTTGTAGTTATTATGACAACTTTTCGCGAAACTACAGTATACAGTATTTAAGGTGATTTTTTTCGCTGATTTTGTGGCGCCCCCTAGAGGCAATAGCTCAAACAGTGGACCCCAAAGACTCGCGATTTGGATTCACCTACTTGTGGGTCCCCCTACCTCCCCCACCCCCCATCCCCCACCGCCACCACCACAATATTTATTCATTTATTGGGGCTGGGGGGAACCCCTCTTTTTCGTGGTAAACGCTTATTGAAAGTTCATCCCCATGTTTTCCAATATTTTTTCGGAGGGGCGGGGGGTATTTTATTTAGATATTTTTACACTGCATTGATAATAGACGTCAGTCATAGGCAGATTTTCGACATTCGCGAGGTGGTCCAGTCCTGATCTCCCGCGATTCACGGGTGTCCCCTTTATTGCCTGATGGGAGAGCATTTTCTTGGTTTACGTTTATGGCATGTTTTTATTTTTCACAATGTGTGCGAAACATGTTGAAATGTCATGCTCAAGGTCCAACAGTCTCAGAAACATGACACAAAAACTTTAATACATTCATTTAACCAACATGGAAAATGGAAAATGGAATTTTACACCTTTGTACAGCAGCCCAACGCCAAATTCAACTTGACGGCTTTAGGTTAAAATGTTTTTGCCCACATTTTCATACCCCGAACAAAGTGATGCATAATACGGTTTCATTTGCATCTATCTACATATATTATTTCTGATTTAGTTTGAGGTGCATTATAAATAGGACTGGAGCTTGGGGGATGGCTAATTTCCCACATGGCACCCTCACGCCCTGCCCCCTAGAATGAATCTGAACCCCATTTTCTCGTTCAACAATTGAGGATGGAAGTCGGGGTGACACACACACACACACACACACACACACACACACACACACACACACACACACACACACACACACACACACACACGATTTCCCCAGATGACGTCACCGGCCACCTCCACTTGAAGGGGACACGCACACACAACACAACAGCGGCTGCAGTAGCAGCAGCAGCAGCGATATGGCTGATCATCACCGACCCGGGCGGCTCTGCTTGTGAGCCCAAGTCAGGAGAAAAATGCGTCACAGCTGGCCGCCCATGCACCCTCTCAGGCGGTGGGACGCGGCGTAAGAGATCCTGCAACAACACTTTACCGACGGCCCATAGGCTGCGTGCTGCGTTTTGTTGCAAAGTAGTTGCTGGACTCGTCGCAGTGGATCAAGTCGAGCGTGCTCCGGCGTGGATTACCATACACGAGGGGAACAATAGTCTGCCACAGCGGAAGTAGGACCAGGTCAGTTGCGGGCATATTTTAGTTTCTGTTCGATCTCCTCTCATTGTTGATCGTGCGAACGACAGAGCAACTTAGACATGAATACCTGAACGTTTCACCTGTCATTACAGGTAGATGTTTTCAGTACACGACAGCGCACCTATGTTGGGACTCTTGTTCGAAACCTCTCTGCACTGAAGTGTCAATACTGTACACTGTTATTACGTATGCCCACGTTTCAGAGCCCAGTCATAACGAGTTTGAGATGTTGTGCTTCATCTAAAACTGGATTCGGAGAAACTTGCAGCCAGCCGGTGCTGCGTAACTTTAACTATGCCCTGTTCGGTTCACCTTTTTCCGGACAGTTGCGTCAGGAAAGCACGGGGTGATAGAGGAACCAGCCGAAGCACAGGGCCCGGAATGTGGACGAGGAATCTCTCGTCAAGCTTGGTCAGTCGTGAGCCAATGGCACATTGAGTCCCACGAAATCAATGCTGTTTGTCAGATTGATTTCCGGGGGATGTTGTCGTGACGGTGGAGGTTTATATTGCGGGGTGAATGCAGCAGAAGCATGGATTTTCATTTTCGGCGGTCTGTCCCTGTGGTTGATTAATTATTTCGATAAATCTCAACGTGCGTTTCTTTGTCAATATATTGCCCTTTGCGCTAATGCAGCAGGACAGAACTTGTTAGTACAGTGCAATACAAAAACATATTTATCGAGCGCTTTTATAACAGGTCTAGCTGTAAAAACCGCTTTAGGGAACACTTCACATAAAATAAGAGCAATACAACAGAACACATAAGATACAGGTTAATCGTGTTAATCAGTTGCTTCTAATTGAACTGGATGGTCCTGCATTCCTGTGCTCTGCTTTTTATGATCACAGGGAAGTGATTTTGGTGTTCTCATCAAAATCACTCAATGAAAATGTAGTGGAACTCTAAGGTCTTATAAGTAGCCTAACATTTGCACACATACCAGTACAATGACACATTTATACAGCAGACACATTTTGTCTTTCTTCAATCGAAACTAAGAACGGGCTAGTTGCAGAATAAATGTTACCCATTTTTTTTTTCAATCATTATATGTGTGGTTGGATGTTGTCAAGCATAAAATGTCCACTCTCAGAGTGAAATATCAATTCACATTTCAGAAATTCAAAATATATCCGTTAAACAGGACACATTAAGTGCAAACATGAGCCAACATTTCCACCTTGTCATTGTCCGCCCTGTCAGCAAGCTTTGCTACAGCATGCTTTGCTGTTTGCACATATACAGTGTCTGCTTGTAGTTATTTTATCAAAATAAGTGATGGAGCTTGACAGACATGGATTTTTAAGAGCAAAATAGCCACTTCTTTTTTGTGATACTGACTCTTTGCAAAAAATAAAAAATAAATAAATAAAACAACATCTTCCCGCAAGACCACAGACATAATTGTTCTCGCCAAAACACATTAAGACACTAGTATGATACTTAAAATGAAACCAAAAATCATCAATAGTTGCAGCTCATCACCTTCCTGAAATATTCGCCATAATCATATTTTCACCAAAATATTTTTTTGCCTTAAACATCAAATGATGCTGGCCACCTCTCCTAAAATGGGCTACCGTGCATCTTTAGTTAAATGGATGATTTATTTATAGCCCTGGAATGAAATTATTTCTTCGATTCACTATTGGGTTCACTTTTTTGTGTTGTCTGGAAAAAAAGAAAAACTGAAAAATGGCTCGGGCCATTATTTTAGGAAGGTGACAATGTATGTGCACTTCCATGATGGCATAGTTTTAGACAGAGAAGTTGCAATACAACGTATATCATTTTGTAGAAGAGCAATTTAAAGGTGTGTGACATAATGAGAAAGCACATAATGTACAGTGTTTCTTTTCATTTGTGAGTTCGCCATGCAGGTTTACTTCTGAACCAACGCAAGCGTGGCAAAGACCGCAATTTAATTTTGTGTTGACATCACTTTCATTTGTATCCTTAAATGAAGCAAATTGTCTTCATGCACTTTGCCTGATAAGTCTATCAAGCAACCATTTCATTAGTTTTTTTTTTTTTTTTTTTTTTTTTTAAATGCAGGATTGGATATATGTTAGGGTGGCCCGGTGATCCAGTGGTTAGCGCGTCGACCTCACAGTGCAGAGGTTCAATTCCAGCTCCAGCCTCCCTGTGTGGAGTTTGCATGTTCTACCCGGGCCTGCGTGGGTTTTCTCCGGGTACTCCGGTTTCCTCCCACATTCCAAAAACATGCAGGGAAAGGCTGATTCAACACTCCAAATCGTCCCTAGGTTTGAGTGTGACCGCGGATGGTTGTTGGCCTCTGTGTGCCCTGCGATTGGCTGGTTCAGGGTGTCCCCCGCCTACTGCCTGAAGACGGCTGGGATAGGCTCCAGCACACCCGCGACCCTTGTGAGGATAAAGCGGCTCAGAAAATGGATGGATGGCTGGATGAAGGATATATGTTATGTGACTGAGAAGATGCCAAGAGAGATTAGAAATTTTGGGTAGAATGCAGTCCTGGCTAGAATATCTGATAAATGTCAGCGTGAGTATTTGGACATTCATTAGTCATGCATCCTTGGTCTGCTGTGACAAGCCATTTTTGTGGGTGCTATTGAGGACCTGTTCCACGCTGTCTGATTCAATGTGCGTGCGTGCACACATTGTTGTGCAGAGGAATTCTTGTTTGTGAAGTAGCCAGGCTCAGGAACAGAATACAGCTGACCAAAACTTTGTATTATGATCCCTGTGAGAGTGTCAAATGTGCAGCTAAATCAGTCCCCGCTTTCTTTTTTTGTTGTATCATTAGCGGGCCCAGTTGGCAGAGGAATGCAACGATCATGTGTTGCAACATTCATATATTCATTTGGGTGTGTGGATGCATAGTGAGAAGGGTGATGTGGTTGGTGATGTGGCGATACTTCTTTTTTTTTTTCTTCTTTTCACTTCAGAGAGAGAAAGTGCGGTTCCAGTATGGGCCTGTAACCTAGCAATCCAAATGGTGTGTGTCCTGAATAAATCATGCAGCGTTCGTCCCCTGCCTTTCTCGGGCATGTGCTACTTCACTTCACCTCTGTCCGCCCATAACACCACAAACACCCACGTTCAGTGACGCACATGGTTAGGGCGATTAACAGAGACAGCTAAACAACATAGGGCAATGTTTTTGATGATTTTATTTCAGCTTTTAACCTACAAACCTTTGCTCGCCTGTTTTATTGTTCCATTTGTGCAGCACAGCTTCCGGTATGTATTCGCCAACAATGCACCAAATGCCTGATAAGCAGAGTGTTCAAATTGCGTGTTTGAGACTCCATCGTCTGGAGTGGCCCTCCGCCCCTACCAACCTCCTCGTTCATTTAGTGGGAGTTACAGAAGTGTGGTTTTCCGGGTGTCTGTGGCCTGTTCATGCTGCAGCCTGAAGCCACATGTCTTTTCCCCACACACGGAGGAGCCTGTGCTGCTCTATTCATTGACTCCATCCATTCAATACACTTTATTTCCAAAAACAATCATTTCTTTTGCCTGATCCACAAAATGGCATGGTGCAGCATTTCATGTATAGTTAAGTAAAAGTAAGCAGAGTGTACTTGTATGTTAATATATAATTTCAAATATTGTATACTCTATGTTCCATTAAAAGGAGTTCTACATTTTACGCTCTATAGAGGACGCACTCGAACTTGACTAAAACCGAAAATATCTTCTATATATAATAAATTAAGAACCTTCAGATGAGTTGTGTGTGTGTGTGTCTGTGTGTGTGTGCGAAATGCAGTGTAATTAGATTCCTGCTTCCATTCGTGTCGATGCTAATTCACCACAGCAAAGATGAAGATTGACAGTGAATAATTACATCATTATTGTGGGCCAGCTGCTTTGCCGATATGTAACATGTCTATTGTTTATAATTTGGGGTTAATGGCATGGTTGCATGAGGAGAATCTAATCTCCTCGTCTGAAGAGCATAGTCTGGGAGGACATGCAAATGACGGGGGAGGGATCCTGGCTAATCCTTGGGTGATATGAAATAATGTTATCTTGCCCCGCTTTTGCTCTTTTGTAATCCTTTCTTAAGCGTAATCGAGGTGACAAGTATCCACAACTGGACTAAAATTGAATGTTAGCTGAGAGTACCTTCTTGTGGAAAACGGCAATCGTCATGATTGGAGCTCACAGGGTTTGAATGCCCTCACAGCTGAGCATTGGCTGTCTCTACTCGGTCTGAAAGACTGAGCCTGAAAGAATGAACAGCTTTTGTTCCATCCTCTGAGGTTGAACACAAAGAGAAAGGCAATCTGCTTGTACGCGTGTGTTCCGTTGTGTGCTTGTGCGTGCATGTTAGCTGCTGAGCATTTATGGATGAGACAGAAGAAGCACGAAGTGGATGGATACATACAAAAATAATCTGCTGCAGCGGCCTTGAGCTCCAGGCTAGTGACGCAAAGTACAGGGAACTAGCACTCAAAAACTAACTTACGCACACACACGCGGATATGAATTGTTTATTTCCTTCTGGATGATACTACACAGCGCTGCACCAGAACCACCAGACACTTAAAAATGGTCCAACCTCTGAAAAAGCGTCCCCACAATTTCACTTTTTCTACACTTGCGCAGTTATTGTGTCAGCTTGTATAAAGGTTTATTATAAATGGCTGAATGAAAAACTGAATCGCTCGAATAACTTGATTGCCAAACAAATTGAAGCAAAATCTCTACCTGAACGCTTTGCAGGGACCATTTTTCCACATGACTGCAGTCGTACACACCCCGACGACAAAGTCTGCGCAATAACCGCAAAGCATGAGCAAAGAGTCCATAAAAGATGTAAAATGTCCAATGTTTGTGATCATTTCACATTCAAAGAGGATGATTTCATACCACAACAGCACATCCAACACAGCAAAATATCGTTGTTAGCTCATTTAATCATGCCTACAATCGCTAGTTGGAACGTGTCGAAATGCTGCCGCAAGTTGTCAGAAACACAGGGCTACCAGTACCCTTAAGATAAGAAAAGACACGGAATGGACACATTCGTTCACGAGCTACTGATGACCACAATTCACGCAGAGTACTTTACCAGTGGCTAATGGGTTAACCAGTTAACAGCCAGACGACGCCACACTCTCGTTCGCTGACGTCCACATCACTCGTCAAGGCAAGGCCATATGCTTTCAAGCCACCCACACTCAAGTTACAGATACTGCAGTAGAATGTGAAGATGGCATGATATCAAAACAATCACATATGTGACAAACGGACGACAATACATCTGAACTTCACACACACACACACACACACACACACACACACACACACACACACCTTTCTGTAACTTTGTGAGAGCTCACTTTTTTTTTTATTCACTTTTTTTTTTTTTCCAACCATGACAACTTAGGGGCTCCGGAAGTGGATGTGCAAGTGTTAGTCATAGGCTGGATGGCCTTTTCATTCGTTGCTGTCTTTCTCTGTTATTTTTATGTCAGTGGGTTTGTCTCTCTCTCCCTCTCTGCCATCCTGTGCTTTTTAACTTGCTCTGTTTGCACTTGGGATACATAACAATGGGAACTCATGCTGAACACCCAAACACAATCATCAGGAGCCTAAATGACTGCTGAAAATGTACAGAGACTGCATTGCTGTATATTTACTGTCCAATGATGACAAGTGGCAATATGGCGGTTTTAATGAGCATAGCAGGCATGACTATGGCATGATGATGTTTGTCTCTCCTCAGGCCTCCGGGTGCTGGTGTTGCACCTGAGAACATGGACCGGATGAAGATCATCAAACGGAGGCTGTCCATGTCTTTACGCAGTGCTCGACCTGTTGATGATTCCCTGTCTGAACTGGCGGAGCAGATGGCTTTGGATGAGTCATCAACAGTCAGGGATAAGGGTGAGACACACACACACACACACACACACACACACACACACACACACACACACACACACACACACATATATGCCCTTCTACCAAGTGGTCCAGTTAAGCTTGCCAAGGTCTGGGCACCAAGTCGGGGTGGTTGAAAGTTTCTATTATAGGTTGCGTAGATGGGATGGCGATTGCTGTGTGTGCTTTGTCCAAGTGCGTTTTGAATTCTTTATTTTCAGCACATGTTTTGTGATGACAAGACAAATAAAACTTGATGGATGGATGTGAAATTATCTTACAGCAGAGTGCAAAACTTTCACACAAATTGACATTTATTTCCGAAGCAAGAACACTGAACTGCACTTGGTGGAAACATGCCCTTTATTTCTTACTTTCCTCGTAAGTCACCACTCAGGAGTCTTTTCAACACATACAAAAGCAAATAAAATGTTGGTGAAAGTGAAAGTACTAACAGGGTTGTTGTACCTTTTTATTGATCATGTGTCCACATGCATTTCTCATGTCACAAACCATCAACATGCAAGACCTAATCTGAGCTTTTCCCTTTCACGACAGCCTACATCCCCCACCTTCATTGCCACCTCACCTTTTCAATGTTCACTTGTCTTGGACTTGGATTGAAAGGGACAGCGTGTTTTATTCACTCACAAATTGTGCTCTCTAAATTTGAAACTGAAGGAAAGTCATTGTGGTTCTCAGTGTTGCCATCTGCTGGGCATTTTGAAGGACTGCACTTGTGTCATCTCAACTGCCTCACTTGAGGTAGAGTGTGTTTGTTTGTGCGTGTGTGTTTGTGCGTGTGCGTGCGTGTGCGTGCGTGTGCGTGCGTGTGCGTGTGTGTGTGTGTGTGTGTGTGTGTGTGTGTGTGTGTGTGTGTGTTCAGCCATAATCTGGCTCCCAACATAAACCAGGTCAGAGTGAAGGAATGTTTCTCTTTCTCTTCCCTCACACTCTGAGAAATTGATAATACAAGGATTTAAGTCTCAGTGTGTACTTATAGTCTGTCTGTATTTCAGGCAAGGTGATAGCCCCGCTCCAATTTGTTCATACTTGACTAGTGTTGTGATCACAACTTGGTGGCTATAGATAGAGCATTATACTTTCACCGTCACCACATTAATTTAACACCACCCTTCATATTTCTTCTAGCAGTCTTTTGTCTCAATAGCCAATGTTATTTTCAGTCAGTTACAGGGAGCAACGGAGGCACTGAGGAGAAAGGCAGTAGTGTGGAGTAAGTGACGTAGATGATGGGGGGCCGTTAAATTTTGACCAGTGTACTGCATCATCTAGTTCCCATCTTTCTTCCTGTCACCCCACCTGCACACACAGTTTGCTTGATCCAGCGAAAGTGAAGGAGTGGTGAAGCATTCCTCCAAGCTTACTCAAAGTGCTAATCAGAGGCAACTTGGAGGCTTTTTCTGGCCTTAATCCCCCACCTTTTTCTTGGAGGAGATTTGGATCGCTGAATGGGGGCTGTGAGAAAATTGTGTGGATTTCAGGCTAAATGCTAAGCCTGAATGTACAGTGGCGGAAGAAATGAGGGATTATTTTAAAAAAAAATGGGAGCAGTGTCATGTGGCCTAAGGCACCCACAATGATTTTTAATCATGATGAAAATTGCGCAGACATGACATTTTCCCCCACATAAATGTGAGTTATTTCTATCTCAGTGTACCTTACAGTCGCTATTCTAATCATCCTATAAATTTTTTAGTTCTACCTTTGATGCCTGTTGGGCATAATCCTGCAACTGTTTTGATGTGCATGTTTCCTTTGTCACTCTACTTCTCAGTTTCACATCCTTTTGCTCTGTACTATTCCAATAGATATACGCAAGGGTGCACATAAAAATGGTGGTGTGGTTCTCAGATGAGCACCAGCGGTTGTTGTTTAGTGCTCTTTTTTTTTTTCCTTACCCACCTACCTCATGGATTAATATGAAGATTTACAACACATCTGGGCAAAGTAGAGCATGCTGGCCCCATCCGGCCTGTCCACAGTCTTTGCAGGCTTTCGGAAGTCAAACCAAAATGTCAAACTAAAGTACGTGCTGCTTTTATTTCGATGCACATGTGTGTTAGCAGTGCAAGCGAACATAAACAGCCACTTGGTTTCAGTGTTGCCAACTGAAATATATTGTCACGTGTGACTTCTCTGACCATTCTAGCAACTATTTTTGAAAAATATGAAAAGCACTATCACCAACTGTGGTTCTCGGGTTAGTAAGCACCTCATGTTAGCAGCAATCTTATTTCCTGCACAGTGGAGGGAAGAGAGGACTTTGCCCTGGTAATGATTTGGTAGCCATAAGAACAGCTAATACTGCAGTGGTTTGTGCTCAAAATGTCAACTTTTAAAAATGTGGACACTGTCATGTGTATGTTTTCTGTGTAAATGTTTGTTAAATAGTGATTTCATTTTAATATATGCAGATACATCATTTTGATGTGACTGATTTAATTGTTTTCTACCAGTTTTGACTTTTAATTTTCTCATTACAGTACAAGCTATACCAGAGCTAGACACGTGGTGGTACAGTTTAGTGCTTTGTCTAAAAAACAACATTAAATTAATGTATAACACAGTTGAGTTCTCATATAGGTGTGGCCCTCCTTTCAGTTCTTCCACATGGCGGCTTCAAAAAATTAATTGCCCACTTATGACTTATGTGAGAAAAGTTGAGATCGCTAGCTGATGTGGCATAGTTAAAGACAGCCAGGTCTTTTTTTGAATCACAGACCATTTTCACGTATTTTGACGGACCGTCAAAGACGCAGTGCAACAAGACTGAGATGACAGTTCCGTTTGTCCATGGTAGCCTTGCGTGGCTGTCGCCATGTCCACCACCGCCACTGATTCCGTTCACGCTGCTCAGGTCAAGCTGGCCACCATAACGTTTGTTCATACTATGCAACGCGACAACAACTTAATAATAAAAGCCTCCCAATTCATACTGTCAATGGACATCGATGCCTTAGTTGTCTTTTATTCTGAAGTTAACCTTAGGAAGCACCTGTTGTGGCTGCTAATCACTGATGTGTGGCTGCAATATGCTTGGAACGCAAATGCAATTTAATCTTGCGCATGTGACTATTTTCAGTACACATGCACAATTGCACACCGCTTATGTGCACCCCTGAATATATGCCTCCCAAGTAGCTATTATCTTTCAAGTCTACATCCTATCCCAAAGCGTTCCTCCAAAATGCCAGTGTGATCTTCTACATTTCCTTTTTTGTCTTTTTCAAATTCCCATGTTGTTTCTTTATTGTGAAGCTCCTCTCCTGCAACTGTTCCCTTTCCTTTGTCCTTCTCTTTGTCTTCTTTGTCTTTTAATGGCTTGTTTCTCACACCTTTTCTTGCTCTCTTTCTTCCTTTTCTCTCTCACTGTGGCTGCTCCTCTGCAATGGTGTGCTTCAGAGCTGATGGTAGTGAGCGGCATGCATCCTGCCTCCCATAGTGCTCCTTCCTTCCTGCGTCAGTATGCCGGTCATCTGGGCCACACTGCCCTGCGCAGAGAGCCCGGTGGGGGGCTGGAAAGAGACAGAGCCTATTTAAGCCTCTACAGGACTGGATCTCTGGGTACACGCGCGTGCGCACGCACACACACACACACACACACACACACACACACACACACACACACACACACACACACAGAACAATATACTTATTGGTACTATGGTTTGCTTACAGCTTACATTGTGACTGCACAGCCAATAATGCAAATGAGGCTGCATTGTTTTCAGTTGGTTCAGAGAAACAATCATGCTGGTAACTGTCCATCCATACATGCATTTTCTACCGCTTATCCGGGGTCGGGTCGCAGGGGCAATAGCTTTAACAGGGAAGCCCAGATTTCCGTCTCCCAGGCGCTTCTTCCAGCTCATCTCGGGGGATCCCAAGGCGTTCCCAGGCCAACTGGGTGACATAGTCTCTCCTGCGTGTCCTGCCGGTGGGACATGCTTGGAACATCTCACCAGGGAGGCATCTAGGAGGCATCTTAATCAGATGCCAGAGCCACCTCATCTGGCTCTTGTCGATGTGGAGGGGAAGTGGCTCGACTCCAAGCCCCCCCTGGATGACAGAGCTTCTCACCTTATCTCATGAGTAGAGCACCCTGCGTAGGAAACTCATTTCGGCCGCTTGTATCCAAGATCTTCTTTCAGCCATGACCCATAGTTGGGTGGTATAGGGCCTGAAACAACCGTAACCGGGTTTGGCACTCCATACTCCCGCCTCCCTGCATAAGGTGGAGGGAGGCTACCCTCTTGTCCACCGGTGTGAACTCCTATGTACAGTCACTGAGCGAGGGGGCAATGAGTATGCCCACACCTGCTCTGCGCCTCTCACGTGGACAACTCCACAGTGGAAGAGAGTCCAATCCCACTCAAGAGAACTGGTACCAGAGCCCAGGCTGTGTGTGGAGGCGAGTTTGACGATGTCAAGTCGGAACTTCTCTGCCTCACACACCAGCTCGGGCTCCTTCCGAGCAAGAGAGCTGACATTCCATGTCCCTTGAGCTTGGTTCTGCAGCTGGGGATCGGACAGCCAAGGTCCGCGCCTTTGGCCGCTGCCCAGTTCACTTTGTCCCTGACCCCCCTTGAAGAATTAATGTCTATATCGACAACTTTTTGTGAAGTGACCTGAGTTTACGACCCCCATAGAGCATTAATATCTCAAGTTTTTACTCGCAAGTCAATTTCAAAATGATTTGAATAAGTCATAAATCAGTTCACGCACATTGGGTCACTTCCATTTCAAGGCATCACCATTTGAATTTTTCTGCCAAGAGATATGTTGACGGAAATATAATGAGAAGAATATTATGGCACCTCCTAGCACCGAATCCAATTGCTCTGATGTGACCCCTAAACTGCTTGCTGCCTGTTGGGAGCATTTTTTTCACTGCATCTGGAGATTACTGTAATGAGATTGCCTATATAAGCCATCGTTGTTTTCCTCAATTTATTTAGATTTGGCACTGTCTCTAAATTCAAGTACAGTGAAGTTTCAATCTACAGTTGTCGTAAATGCTGGCATGTGCTTTTTTTTGGGGGGGGGGCGAATGTGGGTGTTCTACAGGAATAAAACTCTCTTTACTTGGCTATCCAGTGTTTACTGTGAATGTGGAAAGATAAAACTGTAATGCCCTTAATCCAACATACATAAACACACGCTGACCACTCACACAACCACTTTTTTCTCCCTTCTGTCAGTCTGAACTTTGTAATGGAACCTGTTAGTTTGTTCCTTTATGGCTTTCGTGGGTCTCAATGATGCAGTGGGACAGAAGGGCTAAGATGCGAGCAATGAAATGGCAGAACCGTAGGAGGGAAAAGAGGATTGTGGAGATGGTGAGAAGAACTGATTTAAATGACTTTAAGCAATAAAGAAGGGGGATGAGGAGTGCAGATGAGTATGGAAGAGCATCAGTGGTATCAGAGTGTTCCGTCCACAGTGAAGTCATATTAGCTGTATTCTGCGTGTCCCCTGAATCCTAAGTGAGTTGCACAGAGACTGCAGCAATATGCAATTTATCCAAGATAGTCTTGTGCAAGCAGGGATTATGCCAATGAATAGAATGGTTCCTATAAGGACAAAAAAAATGTAACTAGGTCATTTTTTGATTAATAGCACTGGTGATTTTTTTTTTTTTTACTATTTTTATGTCTCTGTCTCTGAAAGAGCCATGCTTGAAGTGCTATTTTCAAAATGTTATTGATTACTGTATTTGAAATTTTAGGCCGTATTAGTCAAGACAGTCAAGAAATAATTACACAAATTTCATTGCAGTCCAGTATAAATGTAATCTGAACAACTCTGGGAAAAATTAACAAAGGCCACATTTACATGGATTCTTGGTTTGTTTTTTTTTTTTTTTAATGAAACTGAATGGTCGAACAGAATGAACATGCGCCATATAAATTCTTCAATCGGAATATACAGGCCGAATACAAGGGGAATTTCATTCGGATTCACATCTTTGGTCCATTTCTTTTCCCAAACTGATCAGACATCATCTATATACACTTCATTTGGAATATCCAGAATGTAACCTGTCTGTGAATGCTCTGTCTTGGCCCAAATTTGCTGTGACGTTGTCGTTCATCCATCCATCTTCTACCGCTTATCCGGGGTCGGGTGGCGGGGGCAGCAGCTTTAGCATGGAAGCCCAGACTTCCCTATCCCCAACCACTTCTTCCAGCTCTCCCCGGGGGATCCTGAGGCGTTCCCAGTTGTCGTTTATGTACTTATAAATGGTGACTTCCAACCAGAGCTGGTCTGCAATGGCAGCGTTTGTTTTTAACTTGTTTTTATCAAGCTGTTGCTTTAATAAAACTTGAAAAATAGATGCAAGCACTGTGCTAAATAGACGACTTACCTTCATCTTGACGGATCACGAGATGTTTACATCAATCTGTATGTCACACAGCTGTAAAACGGCTGGTGTGATTAAATGTAGTGGTACATACCAACGCCAGATCAGAATAGATGATGTGTATAGTGGTGAAGATATTAGCAGCTTCTGAGCAATCATGATAATAGGAGAAGAGTCTTGTATATACAAAAATGTAAGCATCGACTAAATAAATAAACACACCGTGAAAATGCATTTGGGACACATAACAGTAAAGACATTTTGGCATTAAAAGTGTGGAAAATATTTACAACGAAGTTTTGTCCAATAAACAATCATGGCTTTTGAAGTATAACAACTGCCAATAATCCAAATACTCATGAAATTTAATTTAAAATGATATTCAACTTATACCTTTACCAGTACTGATAACATTGTATGAAAATGACCCAACTGATTGTTTTAGTCATTACAACATAAATACATCTAAAAGTTCAAAAGTAAAAGCACATTCACTGTAATTAAAGCAAAATCTCAAATGTTGCAGATGTAGGCTCCATCAAAGTAATAACTTGTTTTTCCTCATTTGCCATGTTCATTCATGCTGGCAAACACAATATTGGAATCCAAGAGGGAGCATGCAGCTAATTTGGTGTGTTGCTTTATCACCCGGTACCGAATTGAGAAGTCAACAGAAGGGATCTGCAAGTGCAGAACGGTTGTGCACCTAGTGACGTCATTCTGTGAAATCTCTGTGGCAGCAAAGCCAAGGATCTCGTATGATGCAGTCGCCAGAACTAATGCTGCTCTATTATTAAAACTGTGACGAGATGTGTGTGTGTGTGTGTGTGTGTGTGTGTGTGTGTGTGTGTGTGTGTGTGTGTGTGTGTGTGTGTGTGTGTGTGTGTCCACCGGTTGTTCTCGCTGACTCACTTTGCCATTCGACAGTCAGAGCACGTTGCCAGCCTTAAAGAGCGACACAATGATGCAATCTCACTTTCCTGCTGCACTAAAAAGATGTCAGTCCTCTTTCAGTCATTTGCTAACTTGCTTTATATGAGTATAAATCGAAGTATTCTTTTCACATACGAAAGTGTGCCCCACTGTGGGGTTATAGCTTTGACTGTATGTATACTGTTGTTTTGGCCAGCAGCTAGAGTGCTTCTAATGGATTGCGATGTTGCTGAATCTTAAGTAAAAAAATAGTTAACACTAGTCTCTGACTGAGTAAAAAGGATAATATTGAAACTGCCTGCATATTTCAAATATGTTGCAATGTCTGCTCTCCTGCCACTTACACAGAATGTCTGATATTTTTTGTCTGGTCCAATCTTTAAATGTCAGTTAACTTCCATATGAAAGCCGTATGGGGCAAAATGAAACGCTTACATTCCTCCCCGTGTCCAGCATGACCTTGCCTTTGCGTAGGATTTACTGCATTAGCACTGCATTAACTGCTGTCTTTATTTCCCACCGCTCCCGGCACATCCGTTTGCTTGCACTAACGCCATTCACTGCAGACTGGATTTAACAATAGCATTGAGTCTCTTCTAAGCTTTTCTTTAGTGCTTTTATTATTAAGGCCAGCAAATGCTTGGGGTGTAATAAGCATTTTTCTCTCATGGTGATTATTCAGAGTTGTACAAAAAAAATTAATCCCAATCAAAGTGATTTTTTTTTTTTTTTTTGCAAAGGGAAGCATTCTTCTTATTTAGTGAATAGTTTCATAATAGGGACAAGAAAATTAATTATAGATATCCTTAGTGCTTTCTTCAGGCTTGAGTAAACTAGATTCCATGTTGACAGTATGCATGTTAAAGGCTTGGTGTCAGCATAGGGTTGGCTCAGGAATATATATCAACTTTCCACAATGCTTCACAAGGAAAAATGAAGTTTCAAACGTAAACGTTTTCATGAAAACATGGGAACACGTTGATCGATTTAGGCAGCAAAGATGGTATGATGGTGCAAAAAAAAAAGACACAATCAAAGCTACAACAAACGTGTCAGTGGGCAATAAAAAGGAGCATTTGCAATTCACAAATCACCTTCAAGCTACAATTACACGTGCAGTTTAACAGCAAGTATAATGCAAATGTATTTGTTGACTGCTAAACACTATGTTAGACACAAAATTAGCCAAGTTATCAAAGGCGCCTGCTAAACAAAACTACAACTACACTAATAATAACTGACTGTTTTCAGACCACTGTCTTGTTTG